AGGCTCAGAGAGCTCCTGTGACCGCACAACATGAGAGGAGGTAAGAAGCTGGTCTGGGACTCGGTCTCCCTGACCCCGTCCACACGGTCTGCTGGAGGTACACTTAGCATAACCTGCTAAAAACACACCATCTGCAGACGGTGGAAAATGAAACCAGATGATGACAAATCTTACACGTGCGGCTACTTCCGCACCGAGGCGGTGACTCACAGGGGCGGCGAGCCCGAGCCCGAGCCCTCACCACCCCAGCGCAGGGCAGAAAGGCCCGGGACCCAGGAGGGAGGAGACACTGGGCAGTCCAGGTCCTAGCTGGGCACAGTGAGCACAGGGCCCCCGAGAGGCAGGGACCCACCTGCTCACCTCATCCCTGTACCCCAGAGCACCTGCAGGGCCCACAAAGAACTGCCCCCCTCAGTCCTCCATGTTCCCCCCAGAACTCAGAGGCACCATCACTAGCAGAGGGGCTGTTCCGCCCCCCACCCCCAGCCAAGGGTCCTCCCAGGTGCTCCCTGCCCACAAGCCCCCGGAGGTTGGGGGTCAGGGGAGCACTGCGATGACTGTGGTGATGACTGGCCAGGCTCCCCGAGGAGCAGAGGTCACCACTGCTGCCTGGGCATGTTCTTAATCAGGAACCTGAGGGTCTGACTGCCACCCCCGCCCCCAGAAGCAACACTGCAGCAGAACCTGGCCTCCCCACACCCCTTGTTTCATCCTCAAGCTTGTCCGAGTCAGTTGTTCTCTCTGCTGGCCATAGCCCTGCACTTTCTTCCTTCTTTACAATATGTACACAGTCTTGAGCCAGTGCCACCTCCTCTGAGGAGTCTTCCTGGATGCCCTAACCAAAACAAATGGGTCCTTCTGTGCTGCCTCACACAGGATTTTAACTTGTCAGCTTTTATATCTGAGTCCCCGTTAGCCTACAGACTCATCCGGGGCAGTGGTCCCAGCTTCCTCAGGCCTGGATCCCTCCCACCCCTCCCCCCAGCTATAACACCAGACCCCTCAGAAGAGCAGGCGGGAAGTAAGGTCAAGTGCCCATTGCTCAGTTTGAGGCATGAACTAACCGCAGTGCACAGAACCCTCCTGGTGTCTGCGCCAGGCACTCACTGGTGAGTGATGCTTCGGACGGCAAAAGAATGGAAGGGGATGACATCCACTGCCCCCAGTGCAGTTCCAGTTGCAATGAGAATCGAGCCAGTTTAGACACAGTGCTTCTCACCAGAGCAGCTGAAATGCCACATGGCTGCAAGGCTGGCATGGCAAGAGGGCTTTGTTCAGACCGTCTCACAACTGGCAGGTCTGCTCAGCTGTGAGGGCCAAGTTCAGGACTGGTGTCTTTCCTCTCAGCACCTACAGCCCAGCCCAGTCCTGGCAGAGAGTGGGCCCCAGGACCGATGGGGAGGGAGGAGTCTGTGGGTTTACAAGGGCCTTCAAACTCCTACTAAACTCCTGCCACGTGTCACAAAGTGCCAACGCCAGAGCTGGACGGGACTCTGAGGTCACCCACTTCCACCTCTGCAATACACATAGGAGGCAAGTGAGGCCCAGAGAAGGGAGGCAGCTTGCCCAGGGCCACACAGCCATGGCTCCCAACCCTCAGCCAGATTCTGTCAGAGAGCAGGCTGCTGCACCCCTTCCCTGGCCTCCCTCTCCCATCCTACCCTTTCTGCAGGTCAGACCAAGGCCCACCTGCCCAGCGCCTCTTCTCGGGTCCCCTCTCTGGCCCCGTCCAGCATGGGCTCCCTCACTTGCGCACCCTCTTCTCTCTGCCTTACCCTTCAGACCCAGCAAACTCCTGCCCATCCCTCAAGGCCCACTTCAAATACCATCTTCTCTGACACCATGGATAATAACCACTCCCATTTCCTGAGTACCCACGCCACTGTGTTCCGAAAAACCAACAAGGTAATGGTGAATCTACTTTTGGGGTCCCCGCGGCTTAGCACCCAAGTTCCTCGAGGGCAGAAACCTGACTGTGCAAAGCAGGGTAACAACAGTACCTGCCCACACCGCGCACACGACTGCAGGGCTTTGCAAACTCTGAGGTCCTGTGCTGCTGCGGGCTACCTGCGTTCCCTCAGACCTGCTCCCCACGGCTCAGCCTCCGCCTCTGCACGGGAGTGAAGTTAACCGGTGAACTGGTAGTACGTGTGCCAGGATTGTGTGCCGGGACTGTGTGCATGCTACGCCCGGGCTGTGAGAGAGACGCATTCCTGTTGCCATTATTATATGTGTCACTTTCGTTTTGTTACACCTCTCTGTGGGCCTTGCTCACAGCCCATGCTCAGTATGTATTTTCTTTGGAACAAACGACCTCGGCATTTGAGTTGTTCAAGAAAATGAGGTTAAAATCCAGAGGCCACATGAAGATGCAGAGTTCAATCTTATCATCGAAATGTTGCCCTGTAGCCTTTGAGTCCAAAGACGGCTCGGCTGGGTCACTGTAAACAGCCCCTCGCCCTCACAGGGCAGGCTTCTGCAGGGCCAGGAGTGAGCAGCTCGGCCCTGAGAGGCCGCTGTGCTGGGCTGGGCCCCCTCTGGGGCCTGGAGGGGAAGGCGCCTTGGGATCCAGACTGAGGGACAGGCCTCTGGAGACAGTTGAGGGCACAGGCCCTGGCCTGGTGTAAACAGGGGCCCAACCTGAGGCTGAGCCCTGTGAGGTCCATATTTACCCCTCACCATCGGCAGGGGACCCAGGCGAGCCTCAGTCCCGGAGGGAAGCCCATCCACGGAGCAGCCTCCGAGACCTGATTCGGCCTCTTCGGCAAATATCCCATTGAATCGAATTCCAAATGCCAAGGAGCATCAAACACAACCCCTCTTTGGACAAATGAGGAGAGTAAAGCCCAGAGATGGGCTATGACTTGCCCAGGTCACACTGCTGATTGGGACATTTACTCAGAGGCCACCAAAAGCCCACAACATCGGCTGAGCAATGCCTGGCCCCAGGCCAGCCCAGCAGCCTCCCACCCCGAACAACCGGAGTGCAATCGGTCACTGTACACCACGGACTGTGGCCACGTGATTCTGATTCATGGGTGCTGAGACAGGGGTCAGGCTCCTTCGTGACCCCGATCCCTGCTTCACCTGACAGTCACTAACCACCTACCAAGGGGCTGCTGAGCGAGTTCAACAACAGGGAAGTTTTCAGATGTAAAGGGTGCGGACAGTTACTCATGAACGGTGATGACCATCCACTACCGCCTCCGTTCAGGTCCCCAGTGCACATTTGTAGAGGCGGTCAGAGGAGTGGCAGACCCAGCCCCGTCACCGCACAGCCGACAGCCTGCCCGCCTGATGACTGTGGAAAGAGTTCATGTGGCTCAGCCAAGCCACTGGTGTACACCAGCGCTCTCCCTCTCCACCTGCTCAGACGCTGCATCCCTTGGGTGATTCCAAACGTCGCCTTGGATTTTTAACCAAAAGCTGTGGCCACAGCACAGCACTAGCCAGCAGGACGACTGAAGACTCCCCTGCAGCCGAGGCTCCCCCTGGCACCAAGGCAAGGTCTTGGCCTTCTCAGCTGTCCTCATACCCTGGGTTTCTCAAAGTCTGCTGCACGGAACTCTTGCATCCCTGCTGATTCCGGAACACACCCAACTTTGAGAACCAGCTGCTGCCTAGACCATGCCCCTCCACGGGGGCCCCATTGCTCCAACAGGCAATGCCTGGTTCTTTGAAAGGCAAAAAAAAATCACTCTTTATATATAAAGCACAGATACACATATAGTTCATAAACATCTCTTCAGGATATCTATGGTGTTAAAATGTTATGGAGGCAGCAATTAGGAAAAATGTCTAAAAAGGCTCTTTGGCCACAGGGGTGGAGGGCGTGATGAAAGAAAGACTGAGAAGCACTGGTCTAGACAAAGGTGGCCGTGACATTCAGCAGGAAGACACCCTGAAGGGTAGGAGGATGGTGGGAAGTGTTCCCAGCCTGCCAGAAAAGAAAGACCACCCTCCCTTCATGGGACTCATCCCTCTCCTGAAGGTGCAGGGCAGGGGGGCACGCAGACCCTTTCCTGGGACACAGCAGCTCATACCTGACCGAGGACACGCCACAGAAAGAGCGCCTACTGCCCTGAAGCTGCAGCACAGGCGCGTGCAGCCTGACACCCTGAGGAAGAAACGGGAAAGGACCAAGATTCAGAGGGAATTGAGTGTGAGAAAGAAAGAAGCCACTCGTGGCTTCCTGGTTTGCACTGTGATGCCTGGGAGGAGGGGGCAGATGCTGAGAGAGGGAACTCACAGAGCAGAGCATGGGGAAGAGCAGGCTGGCCTCAGGGGCCAGAGACAGCGGGGCACGTGACAGTAAGAATAATAGCAGCTAATTCTGACAGAGGCTTGACCACGTGCCAGGCAGGTGCCACCAACCGTGCTGCCCGGTAAGGTGGGTCCCATGATCAGCACCAGCACCTCAGCTCCAGGAGATCAGGGACTGTGTGCGCCTCAGGCCCTGCTGTAGCCCCCAGAGCCTGAGCAGGGCTGGGCATACAGGACGCACGAAGAAAGTATGTGCAGAATAAAGAAACCCTCACTTTGGGCATAGGAAAGAACCACAGGGAGGGTAAGTAACTTATCCAAAGCCTTGCGGCTAGTAAGCAGCACAGCCAAGAATCCACCCCAGCACAGCCCGCCTTCCTCCCCCCTGCATGTGTCTGGGCTCAGAGACCCCTACCAGGTAAGCTTCAGATGGTGAGGGGATGAACCAGATAAGGCATCATCCTAGCTGGGCCACTACCCACCTGGTGGAGCATAAAGCTGGTGCCAGCAGGGCATGCGGGGTTCTCTGTGGAAAGCAGCATGCCCAGACCACACCACCTGCCCACAGGAGTCCCACACACAGGGGAGCTGAGAAGAAAACCAGGTATGCCAGGCTCAGGGACTGGAGTTAGCCAGGGCCTGGGGTTGGCCAGGGCCTGGGGTTCGCCAGGGCCTGGGGTTTGCCGGGGCCTGGGGAGAGGGGCAAAAGGAGGCTTGAGGAAACGCTTGTCCCTTACCAATCCATCACAGTTGCTGATGGCAACAGCTGCCCCCGGCATGCCCGTGATACTCCCAGTGTAGACACATTCTTGCTGCAAGGGCTGTCGGAAGAGCTCCTGAAAGTCTTCCTGCCACTCCGCAGAGGCCCCGGGCACCACCAGCCGCCGGCTGGGCCGCAGGCGCAAGTGCAGCTCCTCCCCAAAAACAGTAACATTGAAGTACAGGGAGTAGCGCCTTGCCCAGCCAGGCCCGGGGGGCGGGGCAGTTCCTTTGTGGTGCAGGGGGCTGCGGGCCACCCGGAGGTGACCTGAGTGTGAGGGTGGTACAGGTGGCCTGTCCACTGCCGCACTCCCTGCAGAGGCTGCTGCTGGGCCAGACACCACGTGGGAGAGGAAGTGTCCCCGAAAATCTGTGCTGCAGGGCACTGTCACACCATAGTCACGGAGCCTTCCGGAGGGACGCAGCCCTGCTGGAGGTAAACAAACAGTCACTTCAGTACAGGCTGTGCAAAGGGAAGGGAAAGCCAGACATCCCACTGGGCAGGGAGCAATCTGCCACGCTGAGTGTCACCTTGAAGGGATCCCTTAGCCCAAGTTCACCCATTTCCTATCTCCTGCTTCCTGAGCCCCCGGATCTCTGCACCCGGATGAATCGTATTCAAGCACTTTGTGGGTCTAAATTGTCTCCGGGAGTCCCTAGGTGCTTTTCCAAGTTAGCAGAAGAAAACAAATGATGCCAAACAGAGCCCTGTCACTCTAGCAACAAGCCTTCCAACCTTGGGTACTGCGGTGCCGAGCAAGGCACAGAAATTCCCCGCAAGCCCCCAGGGCACAGAGAGGGTCTGCCCAAACATTCCCAACGTGCTGAAGTCACCAGACCAGCCTGGGGTAAGACCCTCCTCGCCAAGCTCCCTGAGCGCAGCTGGCAAAACAAACACACCTAGAAACCCAGGGGATCCTGGGCACGTGTCAAGGAGAAAGGTGGAGTTGGAGAGGGGAGGGAGGGAGTACAAGCTCTATATTTTTCCAAGTTTAGAAAGAAAACTTTTTTAAGCAGCACAGTGGCTGCTGAGATTTCTCCGTGGCCCAGTCCCAAGCTGGGTAAGTATAGATCTTCAAAAATAAAAAAAGATGCATGGGGTGACCTGACCACTCAGGCCGAATTAAGTGTGAGGTCACGGCCCCATGCTCCGGGCTGCGTGCCAGCGGCCCCGTCCTCACACAGCTCTCCCTGAGCCCAAGCCAAGCCAGGCAGAAATGACAGTTCCCTGGCTTCCAGGCCTGGTGATTCATGGATACGAGTCTGGGAGGAATTTTCATGTCCGCACAGCTCTATCTCCTGCCTCCCTAGCTCCCTTCACAGCGCTCATAAAACCTGGAAAGAGATGTATCCTGAAAATCCCCCGTGTCTAAGGCAGTTGTGGTGGGGGGAGTGCCAACTCTGCTCTTGTTTACCCCTTAGAGCAAGTAACCCCAAGACTTCAGCCAGATGGATCCATTTCGTACACGAACAGAGCTCACGGATAAGCAACCGCCCTGCTTGGAAATTACGGAAGCCACTTTCCCATGCTCTGAGCCACCAGGAGGGTATCCTACACAGGGAGGTGAAGGCAGGGTGTGTCTGGTCTGCACGTGTCAGGGTGTCTGCAGAGAGCATGACAATGCTGGGGAGAGGGGTGCGTATTTCTGTACAGACATGCTCACTGGGGTGTGGGGTAACACCTGCCAGCCTGATTCTGTGTGTGCGACAGACACTTGCACACAAGCACACACATGCGAACACATGCATAGTAGTTGGAAACAGAAGACGCTGAAAGAGTAAGGCAGAGCGGGTAAAACCACAGAGACAGATGTGCATCCCCTAAAAGAGGCTTTGTATTCCCAAATCTTCTTCTGGGGTCTGTCTCCACAACTTGTGCCAGAAAGTTAGAGAAATCGCCGGACAGGGTCGGTGACACAGAGGAAGAAAAGAGAGCTTAGCCCCGTGTGCTCACCGTCTCCCACCCTCGCGTTACCCAGCTTCTCTGCACCGCTGGTCACCCGACCCGCGCGCACCCCATAACCCACGCGCTGCAGCGCGCCCGGCCCGCACGCACCTGGGGTCCGGCTGCCCGCGGCGGCGCAGAGCGCGCAGTGCAGGGGCAGCAGGCAGGACAGCAGCAGCGCGCGGAGCCGAGCCATGTGGCCGCGCGGGAACGCCGGCCGGGCAGGCGCCGGAGCCCCGAGCTCAGCGTTACGAGAGAGGCTAGGGCTCACCCGGGGCTGCCTGAGTGCCGGCCGGCCAGCCTCCTCCGCTGCTGCCTCCTCCCTCCTCGTCGCCTCCCGCCCTCCCGCTCCCGGTCCCCGGGGCGGCGCCGCCGAGTGGACAGCTGGCACGGGGCACCCGAGGCTGCCGGCGGGAGAGCGAAGCAGCCGACGTGCCATCGCCTCCGGTGCCAGCTGTCGGTGGATCGGTTTGCCCGCACCGTGACGCCCCGGGACTCGCGGGACCGGACGATGGGGCGGCGGGGCGGGCCAGGGGTGGGCACACTGGCGGGGTGGGGCGGGGCCGGGCGCGGGTCGGAACAGGGGGCGCTGCGTGCTCGGGGGCGGGGCGCGGTGCTGGAGAGTGCAGCTGCATGCGGCCCCGCCGGATCGGAAGTGCCACGCGGAGCCACAGCTGGGGCTCCGAGGATTTGGGGCGAGGGTCCCATCAGGCGCCCTGGCTGCCCCGGAGTGACAGCCTGTAGCCGCTTTCCCTGGCTCCTCCGCTCCTGTTGCTTTGACCCCAGGATGGCTCTCCAGAGCCACAAGGCAGCAGGAATGACCGACTGCATTTGAGTGGGAAGACTGAGAGCACCCCCTAGAGAATGTCTCCATGATGCTCCCACTAACCTTCGGACTCCTGGGATCTATTAGCCCAAGTTCACCCATTTCCTATCTCCTGCTAATAGGACCCCTGGGCTACCTATTTTGCAGACTACAGCGTCCTAGGCCCCAAGCACAGAGTAACTGGCCTGTGTCCCAGTCAAGAAGAATAGGGCAGCACGCCGTGAGGTGAGAGCCCTGGCTTTATAGTCAGACAGCCCTGATTGAAACCCTAGCTCTGAGCCTCCACTTCTTCATCTGTGCAGTGGGTGTTAATTGTAGCCCATAGCCTGTGTCCAATACATAACTGCTCTTGATGTCCACCCCTGGCACCAGCAGCACCTGCCACACAGCCATAGGTGGGAAAAACCACGAGTCAGAGAGACAAGAGTGGGTTGCCAGGACCAGCTCAGTAGTCAGGCAAACGGCCCAACTCCTGCTCTGCTCTCTGGCTTTGCTCTGTGAATGTGTTCCTAATGATTTGCAAATGAACTGTATTCCAAGCAATCCAGAGGAGGGAATTGGAGATTTTTTTTTAAAGAACTGTGGAATAAAGAATCTTTGTGTAAAGTGCATAAAGACCCCTAATCTTTATGCTTTTGAGTTCAGACATTGTGTTGTGGGCTTTCTTAAAGGGAGGCCAACTTGTGGTGGAAAGTCTCTAACCAGACTGCTCTTGGGAACCCCTGAGTCCCCTGAGAAAAGGCCTGGGTTCCTGCCCTCTTCTCCCCACGAGAGGTACCTCCTGCCTTGCTGTGAGACAGAATAGTAAGAAGTGAGGAAAATTCCTCGGCAAGTGTAATAGAAAAACTGAGACGAGAGCTGAACAAACTGGTGAAGCACTTGACCAGCCGGGTGAGATGGTCAAAACTGATGGGGGCAAAACTGGGAAAACAAGGACCGCTCCCCCGGCGCAACCTCTCTTCCTTTCCTCCCTGGAGATAACACCTAGGCCTCAGATGTACTTCAGCTCCAGGCCCAGAAAAGCAGCAAAACCAGGTGGACAACGCCAGAACCAACCAACCAAAGACCCTCTGCCCTGTCACTGACCAATCAGAGGAGCACACCTGAAGAACTGGTGAATATTCTGCCAAATCCATACTCCCGCCCCAGACCTAGGGTGTGGACTCTCCCTCTGGGGAGCAGCCCACGCCATTTCCTTTTCCTTCTTCTTCCCCCACTTCTTCCTTCACAGGCACTCGACACCTAAACTCTAAGGCAGCAGGCAGCTGGCTGCTTGTCCCAGGCTAATCCCCTGAACCTGTGCCCAAGGCCCTCTTTTCTCTAACTTCCCAGGGAGCTAAGGCAGCCCAGCCCAGCCTCTCCTGTTGCTCCTTGTACGCTAAGCCCTTCCTTGTTTCACTGTCCCCAGCTTTAATAAGTGTATCCTCGTAGTCACCTGGACTCCTGTTGTGAAATCTTTCCTACACGAAGTCCAGACCCCGCACACTACAGCTGGCCCTAGGCAGACCCACTCAGGGCCAGGCCCCTTGTCCTGCAGCAGCTGGACTCGGACCATGCTCCTGCCTCGTGGGCAGAGAGCTGGAGTCTTCATCCTCACGGCCCCAGCACCAGGCCCAGGGACTCCCAAGAGGCAGCTCTTGTGGAATGAGCGAAATGACACTGAGGTTTTGGGGACCAGTGCATTCATGAGGCAGGTTCAGAGAGCTGAAGTGGTCCCGGGTCACACAGCTCATTCATAGCAGAACTGGGATCAGAACCCAGAGTCTAGTGCTGAGTGGGAGAGAGAGACAAGAGTAGCAGTCAGGAGATTGTTCTAGGCTGGGCTTTGCCAAGTGCAGGCCACGTGACTGGGGCAAGTTGTTCCCCTGTGGGCCGCAGCATGTCTCCGTCAAAGGGAAAATCATGCGGATCACTGGGGTCTCGGACATAAACTCTAGAGTCCCGTGGAAATGCAGAGTGTACTCTGTCCCAAGCAACATGAGAGCAAACAGTTAGACTTTCCTCTGTGTCCTTGGGGGATGGTTCCCGGACCCTCACAGACACCAAAATTTTAAATGCTCAAGTCCCTTATATAAAATGGCATAGTATGTGCATATAACCTATACCCGCATATGGGCTGCAGCTGGGTGTGCCTGCACATCACTTCATTCACATGGACTCAGCATGGTGCTCAGCACATGGCAAATTCAGGTTCTGCTTTTGGAACTTTCTGGAATTTTTTCCAAACATTCTCAACTCAGGGGCCTGAGCCCTGCCTCCCCAGACTCACCCCATTGCTGCCTTAGATTCGGTAAGTCAAGAGGGACGGGTCACAGCTGGGATCCCAGTAGCCTGAGTCCTGAGCAATGGGGCGGGGCCTTCCCTGGAGTCAGTCTTGGCAAACAGAGCGAAACCTCACTTCCACTCTCTACCCTCCCGCTTCCCTGGGGCTACAGTGGCTGCTTTTGTTGGCCAGTATTGTACGTCCAAGTTCTTTTCTACTGAGGAAGCCTGGGTTAGGAAGAGGGGACACAGGAACATAGCTCAGAGTCTGGGCCAGACGGCAGGGAAGACGGCTAGGTGGCCGTCCCTTCTCTGCAGACACAAACAGGGCCAAAGCAAAGAAATCTACGGGCATCTTCTGGTGACCCTCTTGAATAGGCAAGCTCTGGGTCCCAGTTTCTTGCCTTGGGATTCTGCATGGGGGAGAATGGCTTGGAGGTTTCTCTTCCTGACTGTCCTTAACCAGCACCTACCCAACACTCGTTCGGTCCACAGCCCTGGCAGCAGAGGGAGAGATGCTGTTTGCCCTGCACAGAGTCAGCAAGCAATTGGAAGATGTGGCAGTGCATGAGAGCACCTGAAGACCAGGTGAGACAGGGAGAGAGGCACACTTGGGATGAAGGAGCAGGGCCACCCAGGGCTATGGGGATTCAGAAGGAGTGGGGCTCAGGGGAAAAGCCCATGGGAGACGCGGGTCCGTGCTGAGCCCGCAGGAGAGGGGGAGGGCGGAAGTGCTGCTGCCAGAGCACAGGCCTGGGAGTGGGAACAGTCTGCCTTGAGGGAGCGCCCCCCTGAGGAGGAAGGCAGTCCTAGAGGACAGCTCATCCTCCTCTGGGCACAGGCAGAACCCTGGAGAGCTGGAACCAGAGGTGCTCAGAGACAGTCTCCAATCCAATGTTCACCCTGTTATACACGTTAGGTAAACTGAGACCTAGAGAGGGAAGGGGACTTGCCCCTGTCACACAGCTAGTTTAGAGTAGGGCCAGACCGCTGGCTTCCAAACCAAGGCCCCTGCCCTCTGGCCTGCAGGGGCACAGCCTCTCCCGACGCACCAGCTCTCTCCCTCTCTTGCTCCGCCTTCCAAGGTGAAGAGGAGATGGCTGGAGGGTGAGACAACAAAGTCTCCCCCCCTCAGGGGGAGGCACAGGCACCACCCCCAGCCCTACCCCAAGGAAGTAAGAGTGTCAGCCTAAGACAGGTCTCCATGGCAAGAGGCCAGGAAACCTGAGGGACACAGTGTTGTCGCAGCTCAAGGGGCCCAGCAGGTGGCTGTCATTTGTGGAGTACCAGCTGCTCTGCTATGCACTTCATGGGTTTCCCTGAAATACACACAGAGAGTCCCTTTCTTATAACCTCTGGTATGAACGGTGACCAGCTAGGCCCTGACAGCCTCAGGAGAGGACAAAGGGAACTCCGGCCCCAACCCAGGGAGAGCTACCCCCGTCCATCCACCCAGGTAGGAAGCTAGGCAGCCAGAGCCACCCTAGTCACCTCTCTCACGAGCCACGTCAATCACCTCTAAGCCCTGGGGTGTCTGCTCCAAACGACTTACACCCCCACCCAAATACAGCTGCTTCCTTCTGTCTCAAACGCACTCCCCGCCACACCCAGGCCACCAATGCCCCTTCTCCAGACACGGCTATGAGCTTGTCCTAACAGATCTCCTCCCCCTTCTCGGCCCCTGAAGCTTCCTCTCCAAACACACCCAGAGAAGGTTATCTGAGACACACCTCAGAACGTGGAGCTGCCACCACCATAAAACCTGCAAAGCTGCTGTTGCTCTTGGGATACAGACCAGACTCCCTGATTCGGCCTGCGAGGCGCCACACGGGGTAGTTCTGCCAACCCTCCTGCCTCCACATTCCTCTAGCCAACTCCCAGAATGCCTGTTCATCATGCCTCAGGGCCTTTGCACAGGCTGTTCCCTCCGTTCTGAAAGCTCCACTCTCCCTCTTCCCCCAGTCAACCCCTGCTCATTTTGGGGACATCCTTCCAGTCATCGCTTCCTGAAGCCTGTTCTGTCCCACCAAGTAGGTCACATCCCCCCATTGTTGCACCATCTCCGTCTCCTTCACAGCGCTGCTCACTGCTGAGTTTCACCCGATTCTCTGTGATGCCCAGGTCAGTGTCTGCCTCCCCCACTGGACTCTGAGGTCCACGGGGAGCAGGGACCTTCGGACTTTCCTCCTCACTGTGTCCCCACTGCCTGTCCTGTGTTTGGCACCTAGTGGGCCCTCAATCAATATTAGCTTAATTAATAATCAGAGGAAAGGGAGCTGGAGAAGGAACAGCTCATGGGAAACCCGGCGAGTTGTTTCCCAGAACTGTCACTCAAGGGGAAAACCGGAGATGCACGCACAATCTGATGCCGCCGTCAACACGGCGGA